GTTGTTGCAACTGAATCGTAACTAGGAACTGGAAAGTGCAGAACTAAGGAATATCTGCACGTGAAGTCGATTGGAATTCAAGGAACGGGTACTTCTATCTACTAACTGGAGCGAATGGAGCAGCTCAGGCGATATCCTCGACAGATGATATCCTCGCAAGACACATCCAATCCAAATCCCCAGAAGTGCGGACTGTGGATACGCTGAAGTCGAAATAATACGCTTTTTTTGTTCGTATTAAATATATACATATATAAATATATATTTATAATCTCAATCTCAAATAATATGTATATTATTCAGAGCTGCTTTCTAGGTTTTTGCTTAAGTAATATTATTAAAAACAAGTAGGGGATACCCTGAACCCTCTTCTTCCGATAGGCGATTGGTATACAATGAAAAATACTATATATATATAGACTATTCTAGAAGCTATGTACATGTCAAGTTTGGTAACTCTAGCTCATATTATTTGCCGAAATTGCTCAAAAACAGAATTTCGATATCGATTACTTGGAAACGGGGCAAGTTATCGAATATCGGAAACAAACTCGATCTGCGCGGGGACTAAGAGGATCTACAGCTAAAATTTCTCTAGCTAAAATAGTCTCTAGCTCTTATAGGTTACATACGGACAGACAGACAGACAGACAGACAGACAGACAGACAGACAGACAGACAGACAGACCGACCATTTTTAATGGTTTCAGGGTATGAAAATACATTTGTTGCATTCTATAAACATTTACACGTATATTTATCTATTTTTATTTATAAACTATAATTTATATACATATGTATATATTATATTTTACTTTTCATATTCATCTGAATTATACAATGAAATACAATCTTAAAAATATAATTAAATTTATATCTTTCTTATCTCTTCATATTTTGCAATTTTCGCATTGTTTCATTTTAAACGCTGTGAAAATAATTGTAAATTGATTTTGCTCTCGATGTCGGAAATTTTAACCCAGAAATATTCGCGTTTAGCCGCGTCGGACAAAGCGTAAATCGATATCTTGCAAATAGTTGAAGCTGTCGAGTTATTTAAGGGCTTTTTAGAAATTATTTGGAATTGATTAATCATTAATACACTGTGTCCAATGTAAAAGGGCATATTGGCTTTGCACAAATTTGTGTGGCTTTTAGTAAGAGACATTCCCGAGCTCAAAAGGCATATATATTCTTGATCAGAACGCAGAGCTGAATCGATCTAGGCATATTTGTGCGTCCGTCTGTCTGTCTGTCCGTCTGTCTGTCTGTCTGTCTGTCTGTCTGTCTGTCCGTCTGTCTGTCTGTCTGTCTGTCCTTCTGTCTGTCCGTCTGTCTGTCCGTCTGTCCGTCTGTCTGTCTGTCCGTCTGTCTGTCCGTCTCTCTATCTATGCGTCTGTCCAACTGTCCATCTTTCCATCTGTTCATCTGCCCGTCTGTCAAACTTGGATCATATGTTATAATCATCGATAACTCCTCCTCCTTCTCCTTTTTCACAAAATCGATAATTATCGATTGTGCATAAGGCGTTCAAAAGCTTTTGATTAACTAAAATTTGGACTAAAGATACATAAAACAAATGATTTGGTTTTTGACTTGAACAATTTCCAGAATCCCTTCAAATATCCAATCTGGATTTTCAACTTGTAAAAACTTTGTCATAATCCATTTACAGGGATGCGTTTTGGTCTTAGATTGTGTTCGAAATTCATTTGAGATGTATTTAATACCATTGCAGAGGGTTGCAGGTCTGTTGCATTTATACTATATCATTTAGCTGATATTGGGACGATCGGTCCAAATAGAAGGATCTTATATGGCAAAATATTCTAGTTTCAGCATTATCGAGCTTCACGCCTCTCACATGCATATCTACAACAGGAACAGATTTCCTAGTCTTATATATGTTTTTTCCATTGGACTATTATTTTCCGATATATTCGATTGTTACGATTTACAGCCGTGGCAGCTGCATTGCTTCAATTCGAATTCCATCAGCGGGCCGCGACTCGTCTTTAAACAATCCATCAGCAGATTTATGCGAATGCGGGTCAAAGGACTTGGCAGAGAGCGCCAAATGGATGCAATGGGGAAAAGAGCTGCAGCCAAATGGAGTGCCGGCAATTGGCCAAACTGGCCCGCCCGCCATATTCGGGGCCGCAGTGGGCGTGGCAGATTCTTAAAGAATGCGCATGCAAATGTGTGGCAGCTGCCGAAGGTCAAAAAGCAAAAAAACGAAAGCCGTGTGGACGCCAAACAGAGCCCATGGCGACCCTTCCGTCTAGGCCTTGTCTGTCGCCGCCTATGTGTATGTGTGTAGGTGTGTGTGTGTGTGTGTGTGTGTGGGTGTGTGAGTGATATGAGCAAATAAATTTTTAATAAAAGGCGCCACATGTTGCCAATAGAAGCGCAAATACAAATGGATACGACGGCCACACCATGTCATAGCCATCCATCCTGCCCCTACTTCGGTGGCCCAGCCCCCCCCCACAGCTCGCCCCTCGCCCCTGCCGCTCGGTGCGCCTATCTATTGCTCCGTGTGCTCCACATGAGCCCAGCCATTTAGCCGCTGCGCTGACGAGCCATTAGTGAATGACTTTTTATATGGCTAACAGTTGGCCCCCGCTCAGCGCTAGATGGCGCCACTGTAGTGCGGAAAGCGAGTTTGGGCTGCTGATGATGGGTGCGATTGGGCGGGGTTGGGGGAGGGGGGCGGGGGGGGGGGTAACTTTTAATGTTGCCTCAAAGCGTTTTGTGCTCCATTTATCTTATGCACATTTGCAACCAGTCGAGCAGTCCGGTCATGAGCTCATGGCTCACTTTTGAGGGCGCCTGAAAGTCGCTATTTAAGCGGTGGGAGGGAGGGGGGAAGCATTTCGTGGGGGGAGGTAGAAGGGAAAAAAGTTTAAATAGAAACTGTAATACCTTATCAGCCTTAAAAGCCTTTGCAAAAGCCTTCTTCTGATTTTTGACGTATTTAACCTGAAGTTAAATTTACAATTCGCATTGCGAGCTGATTAAATAAGACTTGCTTAACATTTCATCTGAAGTTAAGTTAACAATTCGCATTGCGAGGCGAATGCAAAAAGTTTTCTAGCATTTAACCTGAAGATATATTTGATTATATATCAATATGGACGGCTATCAAAGCCAAGCCTTTCAGGCTATGTCCGTCTGTCCTTTTGTCTGTTTCCTTTTCAGGTTTTATGGCATCGTTCGGATCGCAAAACTAAATCATATAGGCATGGATATCTGAAGCAAATGCTCATGATATATGTATAAGCAAGTTGTTAGCAATATCGCGCTTTTATATACTATATCTTCCGCCCCATAGACTACCACATTATGCAACAGAATTTTATAGCTTTGCGGCTCATGAAATCAAAATGGATTGTTATACATTTTCCATAGGCAAAGTTTTATTTTGTTTTCTGTGGTTACTTTCCATGGAGAACCAATAGATATAACACATCGTGGAAATTCAACAGTTTAGATCAAATTTAATATTTTTAAACAATATAATGAAAAGAATGGGACATTCCATCAAAATCGGAGCAAAAAAGTAAATTTGTTTCATTTCTTTCAGCAAAGTACGTGAATTGATTGACAATATAGAGACATATAGAAATCCAAAATCTATGGTAAGTACCCAAGTTAATACAATTTTTGGAAACACATTTTCCATATTTTGTTTCTAATACAAAAGAACTATTTTCGAGCAACACTTTTGTGCTTTTTGTTCACTTTGTCTATATACTTTATTTGATTATATTCAACTTTTTGAGTTCTTGCATTCACGATTTCATCTTAAAGTAAATCGCAACAAGAAAAATACCACAAAATATTACGTGGCTAAGAAAAGCTAAGAGACATATTTCCGATCGATTTTTCCTATAGGAGATATATAATATAGTAGTTCGTTTCGGGGGCCTTAAATGTTGAGTTTTATAAAAATATCTTCAAATACAGAACGATTTTCTATGACAACATTTACTTTGGACTAATTCTTCCGATAGAGTTATATGATATAGAAGTCCGATGCTGATATAGTTTGGCATTAGGGTAAAATGTGTTCGGAATAACTTGAAGTAGAAACAAGTTTTTTATAGATCGACTGATCTACCCTATGGCAGCTATAAGATATAGTTGTACGATCCGACCGATGTTTGCATTAATACAAAAGTGAGAGACAGAAACGGAGACAAGCACACGGATAAAGCTAGATCGACTCGGCTGATCAAGACATATAGTACATATATATATATATATACTAAATGGAGCTTGCGATGTCTTGAATGGTTGTTCGTAAGAATCTCGTTCTGTTCCTGGAAACTTAAGATTGTTATAGTATCTAGCTCTTTTAAGCATTTTAACTATTGATACCCTGTAAATATATAATTCATACCCTGCATTTGCTAAATGAATTGCTGCGCAGCTCTGATTGCGCTCAAGCAGACGTTTTCGCTTTACTTGAGTAGTCGCTGATGAAAAGACAGAAAGACAAGAAAAAGAAGAAGACATTGTCCTGCTGCAGCCAGGCCAAGGACAGCGTACAGCGGGTGGCTGGGCAGGGGGCGTGGCGAGGGGGAGTGGAAGGGGGAGGGGAAGGGGAAGGGGAAGGGGAAGGGGAGCAGAGGCCACGTTAAGAGGATGCGCTTGAGCGTAAAGAAGTTTGCGTAGCCAGCGAATCTTCTGTTTTGCGCAATTTCCGCCAAGTGGTTTTTCCGAGCGACGAACCTTCGGCTTCGACAGTTTTCCAAGCGATTTGCATGCAACCCCCCACCCAGCCCCCTCCTCTTCACAGGCCAGAGAGAGAGAGAGAGAGAGAGAGAGCTGGAGCTGAAAGCAACAAGAAGAACATTGGAATTTCTTGTGTGTGCGTTTTTTTTCTTTTTGCGATCTATTCATTGAACAAAGGTTTTATGTTTCAATGTTGTTGTTTCTTTGGTTGTATGGCAAAGTTAAGGATTTGATGGTGACTGGAGAGGGGAGTGGGAGAACTGAATTTTTTTGACAGCCAGCAGAAGCGGTCGTCGCTCGCTCGGGAATTGGTTAGCTGGGAGAGTTGGCAGCTTGCAGTCTGGACTCGAACGTTGTTATTGATTGAGGCGTGGCAGGCTTTGGCGCAGCCAATTGCCGAAGCGTATCCACATGGGCTGACGGCGGCGCAATCTGGTCTCGATGGGGCCCTCGATTTGATTGACGGCATCCGTTGGCGGCGGCTCCTCCTCCTCATCCTCCATATCATCCTCGTAGACATCCAGATCGACATCCTCCGTGTCGGGCAGATCGTGCTCCAGTTCCAGCTCCAGCTCCAGCTCCAGCTCCAGATCTGTTAGCCTTTTGTGATTGCTTTTTAGGCTGCTGCATGTGCGCTCGAGAAACTCCTCGAACTCGCCCAGCTCTCCGTTGGGATCCTGGGCCAGCTCTGTGGGCTCATCGGTGGACTCCTCCGGCTCGGCCAGGTGTTCGCCTTTCGATGCATCCTTTATCATGCCAGACTCTGCGAATAGCGACGCCTTCTGACCAACAAGTGCAGCGAGTTGTTTCCTTTGCTCCGAGGCCATGAGGTTAGGTTCATCCATGATGCATTCCTGTCCAGCGGCTGCCCGCGATTCGGCAGCAAACACATGTATGTGCAGGCTGGGCAGCTCCTTCACCAATATGCTGCCATCGTCCTGCACGAGCACATTATAGCTGGGTCGGCCCATGATCACGTCCACGTCCAGCCCTATCTCCGGCACTATCTGGATGCGCTGCAGCGCTGTCGTCAGGCTGTTCAATAGCTCCAGATCGTTGATCCGCTGCTGCAGCACCATCTCGCCAGTTGTCTGCTCGGCCGGCATCAGCTGCCCCAGCAGCTGCCAGTCAAAGATCGAGGGCAGCAGCCCGCTCTGCACTATCGAGTCCGGCACCTGAATCGCAAACTTGCGGCTCTTCCACACGGCCCGCAGCTGATCGATCTCCACCATGCCATACAGTTTACAATTTTGCTGCATGTCGGTCAGATAAGAATATTCATTGTTCATGACTGCAAAGAGACGCAGAAGGAGAGACAGAGAATTAGAGATAGAGCGCTATCCGAGAGGGGGGAGAGGGGGGAGAGAGGGGAGAGAGGGAGAGAAAGTGAGAGACAGTTTGTCGCTTCAATTTATTTTCACTAGACAGCTTTTAGCTCGTTTTGAGCTTCATTGAGTTCATTGGTTCGAATGTGGCTTAGAGCCATAAAAACCTATATAAAATATCTATATTTGTGTTTAAAAAAGAGACCAAATACTTTATATGAATGTGGTTCCATGTGGTCCGCACTAAGGGAAAACGGTTTGAGTAATTCCAAAAGGGCAACCAAATGTGGTTCAGAGCCATTTCATGGCAGTAAGAGCTATATAATGTAAAAAACATATATTTGCATGCTAAAAAAAAACATATTTTATTTGCATGTGGTTCAGATGTGGTATAAGTGTGGTTCAGAGCCACAACTTAGCCACAGGAGCAATGTGCAGATATTTGAGTGCTTAAAATGAGGGAAATTTTATTGGTAATGTGTCTCAGATTTGGTTTACAGTAAAAACCCGGGCTTAAAGTCGTTCACAAAATGGAGCAAATGTGGTTCAGCTTAATAATAAGACAGTCATAAGTGGAAGATAATCTAATTAACAGAGGCGCTCACGCCATTGAACCGACAAAAATAAAGTGATTCAAATATTGATCAAAGCCATAAATATATCAGCGAGAGAGTCAATCACATTCTCTCTCCCTAACACTTTGTATATCTCTATCTCTCTCTTTAACTCTCTTACTGTCTTTCTCAAGCTCCCTCTCTCTCTCTAGCTCGCACTCTCTAGCTCTCACTCTCATACTCTCACTCTCTTACTCCCTCTCTCTCTCTAGGTCACTTTCTCTAGCTCTCTCTCTAGCTCTCACTCTCTCTCTAGCTCGCACTCTCTAGCTCTCACTCTCATGCTCTCACTCTCCTACTCCCTCTCTCTCTAGCTCTCTCTCTCTCTTTCTCTAGCTCTCTCTCTAGCTCTCTAGCTCTCTCTCCCTCTCTCTCTCTCTCTTTCTATCTCCTTCTATCTCTCTCTCTCTCTCTCTCTCTCAATTTCTCTCTTCTGATATACTCAGCTCGTATATTCTACAATCTTTGGCTTGAGTAGATGATTGCGAGGTCTGCAATGCTGTCTGCGAATATCCCAAGAGAGTTTTGTTTTCTTTCTCACACCTTTGACCTTTGATAATGGCAGCTATAAGAAACTTTGCTTAACTTAAACTTAAATATAAATAGCTGAAAATGCGTAGCTGGAGATATCTACCAAGTAGTTGGTTAAAAATGCGTCTGCAGTTGCCGTCCAACTGCCGACAGCTTCAATTGTGTTTATTGTATTTAAATTAACTTATTTATTGTTATGGGCAACAAAAAATAAAGGCCCCAACTGCCAAAAACCCAGCGAGCCGCAGGCTGCACAGCCGACAAAAAAAAAAAAAAAAATAAAAATAAAGTAAAAAAAAAAAACACAAAACACAAAAGTTGCCAACGAAAGCAATAAAAACTGAAATTTGTCGCCGCTTGTAAATGGAATTGTTTAAAGGTGAAAGCGAGCAACGGCAAACAAATAAACAAATTAAGAGGCTGCAGCGGGCTTAAATGGAGACCGTTTCCACTGGGCCAGTGCGAGAGGAGGGAGGGGGGGAGGGAGGGAGAGAAAGAGGGAGGGAGGGAGGTAGAGAATCCGCAACGGATACGCATTATTTTTGCCAGGCCAGCGAGCAGCGTGCCTCAGGAGGCGGCCGACTCTGCCGCAACAATAAGCCAAAAGCCCCCAACAGTACGAGCTGCAATTGAGAGAGGGTGAGGTGGGAGGGGGGAGGAGGGGAAAGAGGGGAGCGGTGGTGGTGGAGAGCAGAGCAGAGGCGTGCCAGTGGGCGGCTAACAAGGGGTTGGCGGTTGGCGCAAACGTCTGGGAATTGCCGACGGCGGCGATTTAATCTTTGCAGACATTTTTATTCAAATTTATTTTAATATTTTCTCTTTCGACTGCGGCGGATGCGGATGCGGATGCGGATGCGGACGCACACACAATGCAACCGAATCACGAAAGGGGGCTGGTGGGAATAGAGGGGGGGGGGCTGACTACCTGTGCCGTATCGTATGCACAGCTCCGCAGGCTGCAAATGCAGCTTTAAGCTAGGCCCCAGGTCCAGGCCCCAGCTCAACCCCTTACAGATTCGATCTATATAATGCGATAATTTGATTATTTGAAGACTTGCACTTACCTCTAGAAAGTTTACTTGTTGGTTCAATGTAAAAAAGGAAAAAAAAAACAGAACGGCAAATTGGTCGCAGTTAAACTTAAAATTTTGGTATAGTTATTTATAAAAAAAAAAACAAAAAAAAAAACAAAAAAATTGCTTCTACAAATATGCAAACTCCATCAATTTTGGAATCAGTCTCAAAAGTACGGTAGAGCCTCGTTTTGATGCACGCGGACACGCCAGCAACCTGTTACGATTTGCAGCGGGGGTGTGGGTGGGGGGGGGGGGAGGGGTCTCGGCGGCTTGGTTCCAGCACTGGCTCGAATGTTGAAATATTTTGGTTCTAATAAACTAGGTGAGTCTCGCTCGAGACTCACAGAATCTCTCTAACTATATAATTTATTGTTAAGAAATTCAAGGCCAAAGTGATTTTAACAGTTTAAGAACTAGCAACAAACAGAGCACTAAACAAATGTCGTTGCCTTTTCAAATAATCAACAAACATGCCATTTCCGGCTAAGTAGGCCAAACACCTGGTCCGGGCAAGGTAGGCAGGTAGGCAGGTAGGCAGGTAGGCAGGACGGCTTTGTTTGTTGTCAGGCGCATAAGACCTTTGTTTGACTTGAACCCGTTGCGAATTATAAACAAAAGTGCTTCTAATCGCATTTCGTATTTATAACTGCCTTTCGGTGTTACCAAAGGTATTGCTGTGCACAACAATGGTCACATTTTTTTTTTTCTGAATTGTTCGCCCAAAGTTTGTTTTTTCTTTGCCCAACTAAAAGTTTTACCCAGAATAACAGTTTTTAGCTTTGTTTTGTTTTATCAGTTCTGTTATTAAATTTGTTTTGGCTTTGGCCCCTTTGCTAGCCTGTCACCGCAATTGCATAGCCGGAATGCCCTCAAATGTCCGCCGTAATGCGCTTAAGTGTCCGCCAGCTCCCCCAGCCCGGGCATGGCAACAGCTGCGATGCCAAAGATTGTGTGCAAAAAACCTACACCCTACAATTAGGCGCTAAAGTTGAAATACTCTATCCAAGGGACTCTCTAGCGAGCGGCATATGCGTTTATTTATGTGTGAAGAGCTTATCTATAGTCTAAAGTCTAAGTCTTTTGCTTGGAACCAGTTCTCAGTGGTTTGCAAGCTGCTTAAAGCTGAATAAATAGTTTTTTTCTATAGTCTAAAGCTTAGTATTGGAACCAGTTCTCGTAGCATTTGAACTGATTCACAAGCTGAAAATGCTGAATGAATGGTTTTGTTTTTTATACTCTAAAGCTTAGTAAGTCTTTTGCTTGGAACCAGTTCTCAGTATATCTTTTGCTTGGAACCACTTCTCGGTGCAATCGAACTGATTCGCAAGCTGAAAATTCTGAACGAATAGATTTTCTTAAGTCTAAAGTTCAGTAAGTCTTTTGCTTGGAACCAAAATGAATATTTTTCCAGTAAGACTTTTGCTTGGAACCAGTTGTCAGTGCATCTCTTGCTTGGAACTAGTTCTCAGTACATTTGAACTGAATCGCTGTAAAAAGCTGCATGAATCGAGTCGCGAACTGCTGAATATAGGCTTTCAGATATAACATTTACAATTACTAAAGAAAGTTTCAAAAGTTTATTGTTAACAATAAATTATTTATAAGCAATAATATTTCAAATACACATAATACAATTATTAGCTTTGTTACAAAAGAATGGGAAGTATTCACACTTGTTTAACACGGTCATAATAAATATGAAAAAAAGTTAAATTATCTAAAAAATTCCAGACGTTAAATTTAGTCACAGTTGTTCACAAGGTAAAATCTAAAACGCGAAAATGACAGCTTTATTCAAAAAAAAAAAAAAAGTAGGGTATGTTGAAGATCAACGGAACTGGAGAAAACCAAAAAAGAAAAGAAAAACAAACGGGCAAAAGGAACCAGTTCATGGGCGGAACGCGTCTCGCTCATATGTGGCGCCGGGCTGTGCAAGTTGTGAGAAGAATCGTGCAGCTTGCTTATGGAAGGGGAGGGAAGGGTGGGGAGGGGGGATGGGTGCCCAGAGAGCGGCTGGCAGGCAGCTGGTCAGACATGTTGTCAACTTTGCAAAAAGCGGAAGTTAGAAATTTCACAGTGCGCTGCCGCTGCCGGCGACCTGCTCCTGCTGCTGCTCCTGCCCCGCCGTCGGGCATGTTGCTGGGCATGCAACATAGAATTCATTATGGCGGAAAATGTAAAAGGCATAAACAGCATCGCACAACATCCGCATCCCCGCACACGCACACACACACACACACACATGGAGGCAGACATATGTACATATGTACGTATCCGTAACGGGCAAGTGCATGGCTGCGCGACGAGCAGAGGCCTGGAGCAGGAGCAGGAGCGGACGGCTAGGCGAGGCGAGGCGAGTCCTAGTCCGAGTCGAGGCGCTGTCCCGGATTTGTCCCTGCGCCGGCCTGTTGGCCAGTTCGACTTCAGTGCCCGCTTAATATGCTAAATGCTGCAACTTGTGCGAATTTAATGCGACTTAGTCGAAAGGTCGACGGCGCCACAGTTCCATATCCGGCTCGCAGTTGAGGCGGCCTCACGTATGTACTCTTAAAGCAGAGTACAAGTTAATTTTATATTATGCCAACATTCTTTTCGCCAATCAACGACATTAATATGTGAATTGCTTAGCTGCTACACAACAGCTGCGCAACTGTGGCGCGCTGATGGGATTCTGTTTATCGATGGCACTTTGAGTACTTGTCGCGCACAGGCATCGAACGGGGCATCGTTAGCTGAGCTGCACGCGCACACATAGAAATTCGCCGCAGAGCGGAGAGCTCCATTCGAGAGATTATGACTAGAGCTTTGCAAGCGTGTGTGTGTGTGTGGGTGTATGCAAATGCCGGCTTTTTGTTAGCGTGCGAGTGGGAGCGCAAATCGAAAATGAAAATCTACAACTTGTTGGCTACCGTCAGGGGGGGGGGGGGGGGGGAACATAAAGAAATGGAAAAAAATATAAAAAGTTTGTGTTGAAGTACATTGGGTACTGCTTGCTGCTGTGATGGCTGTTGGTCTTTTTGGTCGATTTGCGCGGTGGGGAGGGGGTTGGGGGGGGGGGGGGGGGAAGGGGGGGTATGAGTATTTGTGCTTCTGCTATCGATGCCGCCATTGTCAGGCTAATTCATGTGTCGCCTGCAGCAGGCGATGCTGCTAAATCGATTAAAGAGTCAACAGATTTCGAATGCAAAACCGCCGCAGGGCATAAAATATGCATGCACATTGCCACCGTCTATATGCGCGAGTGTGTGCGTGTGCTGATGTGTGTGTGTGTGCTGTAGGCGTGCCCAATGGGTTATCTTGCACAGATTAGTGCCGTTAATTGCCACTGCCCGCGTTTTTAGTTAAATGAAAATTCAACTAAATAAATATGTGACTATTTAAATGCATTTCAATTACAATAAACAAACCGCAATAATTGAATATGAATGTCATAAACATTGTAAAGCTGATCAAATTTGCATGCGCGCATACATATGTATGTACTTATATCGATATATTTACATGGGCACACAACTGTTTCCATCTCTTTCTCGCTGGCCAATTATTTCTTGTGATGATGATATTCGCAAATGCATGAATTAAATTAATTGCCGCATTTAATGCGCTCGCCATTTTATAATTGCCCCCAACAATTACATGCAGCCAATAGAGGAAATTTCAGGCAAAACGTTTGTACTTTAACCGAAATGTCAATCCATAACAACTATTCAAACGAGCTAATTGCGTATTCCTGTTCATCGATAACTATCGATAGCGAAAAAGCGTATTTAAGTGCACTGAGAAGCAGTCAAAAGAATCATATTTTATAATATGGATGGATAGCCTCTTGGTTGAGTTAAACAAAAATAATTGATAATATTCATATGTATCTGGGTTAAAATAACTCATAGTTTCGTTAGCCAACACTTATTATTTGTTGAACACATTTTCTCCGAATATTCGGGCTTTAATTAAAACTAAGACTCGTATTCTTCGCTTTGTTGCACTTGTGTTGACTTTAATTTAGCCAGTTTTTTATGGTCAACATAGCCAGACAGCTACACACACACACACACACATACACACTTGGATAGAGGCCATGTAAGTACATTAAAATTGGCACATTAAATCACAACAGGTTGAAAGCAGCGAAAGGACTCGCTACTCCTCTCTTCCATTGTCGCCTTGGCTTTAGGCTTGTGGCCCATTCAAAGGGGGACTCACATAAGAGTAGAGCTCTTGAAAATAGCACACACACACACACACACACACACACACACAGACGCCGCACACACCCAAATGAGTGGGGCGACAGGTAAGAGTATAAATCCGCAGCTTTTGTGCTCGCCAACATTTTTAACATACTAATTAGTCTTTTGTAAGATTCATTATCATAATTGCAATTAACAAACAACAAAAACGCGGCGCAGCGACGGTTGCTGGGATAAGGGCTGGGGCCAAACCATAGTCGCGACGATGTCAACAAAAGCGAATGGCAAACGGCAAACGGCTAAAAAGGGAGGCTTAAAGTAGGCGCAAAGGCGCAACACATCGACTGTCGGCCGTTGCCAGACCCGGCTGCTGCTCCTGCTGCTCCTGCTGCTGGCCTTGATGTGGTCGCCTAATCCTTGCCAGCTTTGCTAACAAATCACATTAATCCGTTGATTGCACCGACTTTGCAAGGGGCTTTAAACGGGGCTCAAAGCTGCTTTCAACTCGGCCTAATCCTGTCTAGCGACATTATCTGTTTGCCAAGTTGATTAGGCAAGGACTCGATTCTAAATTGGTTTACACACATTTTAGCTTTGGCTCACACATGCTTTGAACCTATTTTAAAACTGTTTGAACTCCAAACGAGTTCGTTTATTTGCTTCAAAGCAGTTGCGAAGCTGTCCCAAATCTCGACAGACATGTTCGTATACCCTGTACTGTATCCATTGCATATGGTTTAAAAAGGGTATAAGGGATCAGTGCACATGTATGTAACAGACAAAGGCACAGTATATATATTCTTGATCAGAATGAAGAGCTGAGTCGATTTTGATATGTTCGTCTGTATAATCATGTCGATATCGGATCGTACAAGAACTGGAGACTTGAAGGTTTTAATAAATACATATATAAAAGATATATCTTCGTCGATATGTCGTCCCAATTTCAAACTATC